GTGTGTGTGTGTGTGTGTGTGTGTACTGTATATACATATACATAAAATTAAAAAAAATCTAAGTGCCTTAAAATTGTCCCCAGTCTCTATAAGAACCTCCTACCATTTCTAACACTACCATGTCAGCACATTTTCATGACAATGCTTCGTGGGAGGGGTGCTCTGTGGGTGGGAGATTGGCTTCAGACTGAGCTCCAGGGAGGAGCTTTGTGTAAATAGGCGGTGCTTTGTATCAGCAAGCATTTARACACCTCCACATGGCCATAATGGGAGATTCAAGGATTTCTTAAACATGAATGAATGAGTCAAAGCAACACTCTTATTGTGTTTTTGATGAGGGACTGACATAACATGATATAAAGCTCAAAAAAAGTTGATTTTGCATAATACCCCCCTACCCMCTTTAAAGCCGCTACAGGTGACCTGATGGACAAACTGTGAGTGCTGGAGAAGAACAAACGAATGAACTAAATAAAACGTTAAAGCAAGTCTTCAAATTACAGGGACAAGATTACAAAAACGATTACTGTCACTCCTGCCTACGTCTCGAGGACAAGAAGCACATTAACATCACACTCAAACGCTCMCAAAGACAAAACCAACACGCCCACGCAGTCTTCTCAGGATCTGCTGCTGGGATTTTAGTCCTACTTCAGGAAATCAATAAACTCTGCTGCCACTTTTCAAGATGTTCCTCAGATTGCGCTTTACTATTAACACAGATGTGCTGTCAGTGCTCTGAAATATACACACACACACAGCAATGTGAGGTTGTGTGTGTTCATGAGAGAACCACTGAGGCTGCATCATCATTTCTCACAGTAAAATAATAAAACCACTCAGAAAGCAGACGAGGAGCAGAGATCCCTGCACACACAAAACAGACACAAGCAGCCTCAGTTTTTAATAAATGCTGTGAAACTGCAAGGAAACTTTAAAAAAGTCAGATTTTTCTTCATTTTTGTCTGACACTGTTTTCTGACTGTGAAGAAGATGCCATATTTTGATTCAGGTTTGATTATAAAAGTTTGTAGTTCAGTTATCAAAGCAATAAAATATGTTTAGCTATCATCACAAAGAGAACTCTGTGTTTGATTTACCATGTATTAGMTCTAAGTAAATATATGAGGGTAATTAGCATCGTGGCAAATCTATGTGTGTTTTGCTTGTTTTGGATTCATCATAGTTGTCTGCAGCGATTAGACGGCCCYACATTCAGYCTGATTAGTTASSGATGTTCCATCTCTGCGCCGGTGTTGTACATTTAAAGTCTCTCTGAAATAAGGTTTCATTTATTTATGTTTGAAACTGAGCAAAWACAGAATAYATTGGTCCTGTTTCATTCTGCAACACAAAACAAATCAATAATAAAAACTSTAAAGGCACCATTTGTGATTAARMCATCAGGCGACTTCTGGTCACCWGTATATTACTTTCAGTTTTTACTGGGTCTGTCACATTAACAGTAGGTGTCAGGGAGGTTTGTCTCTGCAGTAACTGGACCCCCACAGAGCCCCGACAGGGTGGATAATCGCAGGAGGAGGTGKAACAGCCTCCTGTGATGAAGCTGAATTATTCAGGTGACATCTTCACCTCAGGCAGGAATATGTGAGGCCATTCGTTTGCAGCTCTGTGTGCTGCGAGGCTTCAGGCACCGTGGTTTGCAAAATATCAGGTTCACCAGAGTAATTTAAACTCGTCAAASTCCTCGCTGGACTGTAAGACAAGTATCTGAGCGCTGATCCCTAACTTACA